AGCCTAAGTTTGTAAAACAATAATTTCTGTTAAAAGTAGAGGAAATAGTGAAGCTTGTGTGATGAGGGCAACAGATTTACTTACTTTCACTAAGTTATCTTTTTTCTCTGATTCATCCCTTTCTGACACCAGGATATGTACCCGCAATCTTACATTCCAAATTGAATAGCTTTAACTTCGTTAATAGTTGTCCGAAATGAACAATTTGTATATAGTTTTGTAGGGAATCCCATTACCTTTCAGAAAAGGCTAAACATGTTAATTTATTGCGCATCGAGCACCCAATTTTTGTCACAGGCATTAGTAGTCAAAACCCTAACCCTACAAAATAAAAAAAATCGGTTCAGTAGTTCCCAAAAAAATCTTGGCACAGACAGACAGACCAATGGCTAAAAATGTGGTTTGGACTCAGAAGGCTGGATCTAAAAAGTATAGATGCGTTGAAAACCGCATATCAGTAATTTGACCCTTTATTTGAATAGAAAATTCCAAAACAAGAAAATTCCAGTTACGATCTTTGTGTGTTTTATTACTTTTTAATTGTGTAGAATGTTTTTAGCTTCACACCTTTTTCTCTAGACGTGCGATGTTGCGGAATAACACGGTAACAAAGACTAGTTTGGCAAGACAATAACGATCTTTCAAAATATCTTACACCCCAACAGAAATAAGACCTTATCACAAAGTGATCAATGAGTACATTCTTGAAAAAGTAAATCACATTCATCCGTCAAAAGATTGAACTTCTTTAGGGTAAAAAAAGTTTAATTTTTTTAAAACTAATACGTTATATTTAATATTGAATGATATTGAGGATAGAGATAAAAATCATTTAAAAAATTTAAACATTCAATCGAACTGCCACATTTCCGCACGAAAAGCCCTTCCTGGCCATTGCCCTGATGAATACCTACATAGTTGGGGCGAAACATCGTCTTAATAAAATAGTTTCTACTATTTTAAGTTTTATTAGTTGCTTTTTTTTTTTTATGACCGCTACCAACAACCATCTCTTTTCTCGATGTAATCAATAAAATTTGCGAGACGTCTTAGCCGAGACAATTATTAAGAAATACTGAAGTTTCAAGACAAAAGCATCAATAGGCGATTTTTCTCATAAATCCTAATAGAGAGGCAATAGACGGATAGAGGCAATATTCAAGAAATGTTAGGAGTTGCAAAATATCTACTGACCTTCCAAGATAGCTAACATCAAGAAGGGTTCGGTCCTCACACGGATCTTGCGAAACAATCTCTAACGGTACAAACAGATAAACCCATAATCATTTACCGAACACAATAAATACACGGCTAAGTTTTGTTACACAACTTTCATGTAAAGGCAGGAATACCTCAGAAGAAACAGCAACTTTAATGTTTATAAAAACTTGACCTTTTTATGTTCAATTGAAGATCAATCAATGCTTAATTCAATCTTTGTTGTTAATCAACGACCAGCAAATTTATAATGTTTCATTAGTTTTGAACCGATTCCAATATTTAGAACAATATTCCAATGATAGATTTTGAAAATTCGAAAAATGTATGTAAATTTTATTTTTCTCCTCGATCCCTGATAACCCTTCGAGGCGTCTGAAAAGAAGATGGCCTCGTGATCTACTTATGTAAATATATTATTAGAGTGCTACCAATGGGTAGTTTCTCAAATCAAAAAGTGTTTTCATGTGATTGAATTATTACTGTGTGCACATTTACTAGTTGTATTTTTTTTTATAATACAGTTGTTAATATCGATAAATAAAAAAAAAAAAAATTATTTAAATATTATTTTGTTTAAAGTTCTTGTATAAATGAATATATGGTTTTAATTGGTCATATTCTAATGCTAGAGAGAAATTTTAAATGAACCTTTCAGGCATTTTTTTTTTCAGTAAAATAAATGCCAAAACGAAATGATTCTGCACTGACTGCATACATATTTCTCTTACCAAGATTTTAAAAAAGGTAGTAGTGAAACAGTGGCAAAAAAAAAAATATTTGTGACATAGTAATACGTTTTGAATATTTTACGAATGTTGGTAATGAATAAAACAGGATAAAAATAAAAATTTAATATTTTGCTGCTGATAAAAAAAAACAGGTTTTTAGAAAGTGATTCTCTATAAATGTGAAAAACATCAGAACGATTAAGTCATAAAACGCCGCTAAAATATAGCTGTTAATTTATAGACCGAACCTCAAGACCATCGGGAACTGAATAATAAAATATAGTAGATATGATTATAAAGTTATAGTCAATAAGGTAGTTATTTACATTACATTATTAGTAGGTAGACATATTCATTGCTACTGTTAGTGCAAAAGGTCTTATGTAAAAATTAAGTTTATTTTAAAGAAAAATATAAGAACTGACTATTTCTCAATGATTTATCAGCATTTCATATGTGATTTTCCATTCTAGCAGATTACTTATTGAAGTTGCAAACTACAAAATGTAAAAAATAGAATAAACGTGGAAAACTGTTACATACGACCTATTGCACTAATAGTAGCGTCATGTATTTGTAAGTATACTAATTTACTGTTATCCTTTCCTCTAAGCCGATTAATTCATACTAAATTTATTCTTATACTATTCTGAAGAAGATCTAAAAGGCTGAAGTGATGGCACATATAAAACAGTATTTAGGTGAGAGCTGGGATGGCTGGTACAAGGTGCAACCCTTCCATTTTTTGTCATATATGATTCTCATTTCCATCCGTACATATATTATTACAGTAAGGCTCGAAATCGGTTTTGTACCGAATATAAGCTCCTGTCATGCTCGAATACCACGAATGGGGTACCGTTGGATTCAGAATTTCACGGGGGGTTAGCGAATCGTATTCTCTACTTTTGTTTTTCTTTATAAAATAAATAAAGTCGATACAAACATTTTGCTAGGCTTCAATACCTGAACGGTGGTAGGTCTGTAGATCGATAAGGGACAAATTGGATCTTGAAGATTTTGATGCGTACAGCAAGACCCGGATAGTTCCTCCGGAACTATCGGATCCTGCGTTTTTTTAGCCCCAAAACGTACTAAAACGTAATTGTAGTACTGTCATTGAATACATGTCTCATTTCGTCTACTTGAGGTCTCTATAATCGGACAGGAGGAGTTTATATTATTTATCGATGGTGATATCGATCGGCAAGTCATATCATTGTTAATGTTTCACCAAATCTCAAGATTGAGTCACCAAGGTTTCCTTCTCCTTCAGGCGGGCAAAATAGTCCAACCACCCCGAAAATTCAGGCAAACAAGTTACGAAAGAAAACTAACTTTATTTGCGAATAACTAAAAAATGACATACTTTTCCCTTGGTTATGCCCGTGGTTACATAAAAGATTACTTAATTCACTACAAAAGGAAAAAAAAAATCATTGAAATCGGACAATTTTTAGCAAAGATACAGATTCTTGCAATTTGTAAACATGTTGGTTCCAAACATTAATAAAGATTAATAAATTAATTTTTGTTTTCTTTGTCGATTATATTTATCGATAAAGTAACATTTGATTTATTTATCTTTTGATACGTTGCATTATTTTATTTTATTATTAATCTGGCATTTGATAACAATATGCTGTGCGAATATTTCGCACGAGCCTACTAGTTCTAATTATTGTAGGGAAAAATACCTTCTCCATTTTTGTTTTTCTTGACGTTGGTAACCGTTTTTATTGTGAAATTCGGTTTGGGACTGGTTGGGAAATATTTTATTTTTACATATTACGCTGCTTTGTTACCGACGTAAATATCATTGTGATAAAAAAAATAAAGAAAAATATTTGTAAAAATAAAATATTTGTGAATCATTTTAATACCCATCATTTGATTTTTGTTTAGTGGTTTATTAGAGTTATTCAAACTGCAACAACCAGTCCCAGATAGCTTTTGACTTCGTGATATTTGATCTGAAGGTTGGAAAAAATTATAATATAGCATTATCAATGCATTGTTTAAAGAAACCAAGAATATTTAAAGAAAACCAGCTTCCCTTTCTCCAATATAGTATTTCTCATAATTAATTTTATTAACTTTTTTTTTTGGAACTTACATATATTTATCCGCACCTGTCAATTATTATCGACAATCAGCAGATGTGCTGGCATAGTAATGAGAGAAAAATAAATAAATAAAAAAAATAATAAAAATAAATAAATAAAAAGGCTTGATAGGCATGAGGAATAGCAATACCCAGCGGTATCCCTTCCACGGCTTTTATTTACTAAAACATTATTTAAGCAGATCCCTCATCCAGACCCTTTTCAGTCGTCTTCTGCAGTTCTCCGACATACTAGTTGTGGCCATTTCTTTTACCAGCTGGTTGGAGTGTTCGTTTAACATGTCATGAAATCGGCGTTCGTATGTGTTCATTGACGGTCGGAACGTGCAAGTCGGTGTATAAAGTGTGGTTGTTCACGTACCATGGTACTTGAGTGATTAGTCGTAGTATCTTAGACTGAAAAGTTTGAAGTTTTTTTGTGTGAGTTGGTTTTGCAATTCCGTATATTTGTAGTCCGTAAGCCCAAAGAGGTTTTAAAAGAGATGTGTAAATACTTAGTTTATGTCTTGCTTTTAATTTGGAATGTCGTCTTAACAGTGAATGTAAAAATTTTAGTCTTAGATTTAATTTGATTCGTTTTTCCTTCACATGTGGACCCCAGGTCATTCTCCTATCGAATGTAAGGCCTAGGGATTGTACTCTGTCTGTTTGTGGAATCGGTATGTCTAAGTATACAAGAGGGCATGTTTCTGGTCTTAGAATAAATGTGGTGTGCTGTGACTTTTGATAATTTATTTGAGTTTTCCAAAGAATTTTACTAACATAAAACCCGTTTTAATATCTGAGATCAACAAAATATTTGAAAAACATCATTTTATAAGAACTTATCTAATTTATTAATTAACTTTTTCGTCATTGACCAATCATAATCTTTACCTAAAGGATACAACGATGTCAACGACAGGGTACCCAGGGAGAGTATTCCTCTAATAAGCGAGTCCCGAAGAAGGTATCCTCGGTAGAGGCGTTTTACATCCGATTACTGAAGAACTGGATATGCTATTATGGCTGATTGGCCCCCCTCCCGCCTGCAATTATAGCCCTGTGATTAGATATAATTAGGAAATGGTACAGCACATATCTCTCTGTACCTGACGTCTAACGTCTAATCAACTTTAGGCCCTTCGTTTATAGCCATGTGAATCAGTTTCTCGAGGCAGTTCCAGAGATTGCTATCGGAACATTTTTATCGATACTGAGGGACTCCCATTGAGTTTTTTTGATTCATATAACTAGCGCCTATGGGAGAATGGAAATTTCTAGAATATCGGTAGAACATTTCAAGAATGGTCATTGTTTACACTGAGTCGTCAAGCATGAAATGACCGTTTTTAGAAACAAATAATAAATGAAAAATTTATAAATACATGAAATATATTTTATTCTAAATATTCACCATACATTTCAATACACTTTTGCCAACGAATAATCTTTAAGTCAGGAATTGAAATAAAGTCAGAAAACACATTTCAAATCATTTGTAAACAACCTACCCTGCATAAAGTAGTCCAAGCTCCGAAAAAAGTGGTAGTATGTAAGGGATAGATTAAGAGAATATAGTGGGTGTGGTAGAATTGTATAGCCCAAATCCTTTAAGTTTTTAACTGTCTACGATAAAATGTATTTTATATCTTTGACGCACAAACAATTCTCCGTTACAAATCATACAAGCTTTTTCACCTCTCCGATCAATTTTAAAAATCTGGAAACGGTCATTCGACTTACCGTTTGAGCCGAAATCTGTAGCAAGTTTCCTGGCTGTTTTATAAAGGATTTCATCCACAGCTTCTTTAAAATCTTTCTCTTCGATTGATTATAGAGGTCATCCAGAGAGTAGATCCTATAACCTCTAACGTCTGAGGAAAATTTAGAAAACCGATAACGACGAGTGGTACTTTCTTTTGAGCTCTCTTCGCCAAAATCTCGATCAATGTTCCTTGCTGCCTGGGCAGCGAAACGACTTTGAACTCATTAAAATAGTTCTTCTGAAAATCGAGTGTTTCCCTTTTCACGTTAGAAAGGATACTCAAATTTTATAGCTTGGGAATAAAACAAATATTGTAAGTAAATAGAAAATTATCAAATGTTTATTACAGCTTAAAAAGTTTGCCTAGAATCAAAATAACCATCAACTTTTGGCCAATTCAGACATCACGAAGAGTGGGGAAAAATCACATTATTCGAGGACATAATGATGACTGAATTAAAGGAAGGATGGCAGATTATTCTGTTCTTTACCTGTATTAAGACTTAGTGGTTGGATATTTCAGATTATAAACTAACAATAATAATTTATATACTAAAACATTCTCTGTTAGAAATAATGTTAGTATTACATATTATGATCGTAGCGTTTATGTTATGTTGGAATATTTCATAGTCAAAAATTGATATACTCTCCAAAACATTTATTAAACATACAAACTGTATTTGACAGTAATGAGTAACAGTAATGATCTTAATTTAGTAACTAAGTATTTACTTCCAGAGAGATATGACACACAATCCAGGGTAGAAAAACATACCGATCTGTTATTGCAATAAGCCAATCCTTAACTTTTTTTTTTGCTGTTTGTTGTGGTCCAATAATTGTAAGCATAGACACTGGAACTTGTCCCGTCAATATTTTATAAAGCGGGACAGCCCCCCCCCAATATTTCATAATTTGACTAAATAAATTCACTTAAAATAACTCATAAAAAGTATAATAAACCGAATAGGTAATAACTTTATAATATTGCAGGTAATAAACTGATCACTAACTAACTTTATGTATGACGTTCTATATCTCTTCCCTCCCATACATTGAACACAGTTATAAATTTACCCTAATATTCTCCATTCCAACACTTCCTAAGTACACTTTAACCTATTTAACTGTATCAATTAATATCAGAAGCAAGCTAAAATCAGCAATCTTGCACGGTAACGTTTGAAGGCAGTGAAAGCATTACATTTAATCATTTCGATATTCTTTCTATAAGTAAGGTTAATCTATAAAAATAATATTCTTTATTAAAACAATATAGGTATAAAAGACTTACGTTTTTGGTTCCATCGCCTTCCAAATCCAGGATTGGCATCGTCCTGTTAGCCACCTGCAGTTCCCTCTGAAGGCATTCCATCGTAGTCAGCTCCACGAAACCCGAGGCTCGGAGTTCCAGACATGTCTTCTGTACTTGCTCAATGCAAGGAGAGAAAGAACATATGCGACCACCTGCAAACGTCAATAAGAAGAAGAGATATATTATCAGTTCACATAACAAATAGATCAACCATATTCATATGACACCTAACAGAAAATAATAATCAATAATTTGATGAGATCAAGAAGATACCTTGGGCGAAAGAAAGATGTTTTGATACGCAATTATATGAAACATATCTGTATTGTATTATTAGTATTAATAAACTATGTTTTTTAATTTACTATTGGATGAATTTTTATATAAATAGTTTTTTAATCTTATTTTTCTCACTCACATCTGTCAGAAGTTCCAACAACCAGCGAGTGTGATGGCGAAATGGAGAAGTCGGAATAGGCGCGAGGAGGAAGAGTATTTGAAACTAGTAGAGGAGATCCCTCATTAAGCTTCTTTTGAGTCTCCTAAGGATGTTATCGGGTATGTTAGAAAACTGGATTTATTTAATTTCCTTTTCTTGTCAATTACAGTCTTAATAAATCAAGTCAACAAATTCAGAAAAAATGTGCCCATCTCGTATATGAATGTTCTACAAATTCAAATCCGTTAGATGACTTTTGACACTACTACTCAACTATGACGAGAGACTTTGAATATCCATATCAAAAATTCTATAAAAAGAAGTTTACTCAAATATTACAAAAAAAAAAAATCGTTTTACTTGTTAGCATTCCGGTCTAGAGGGGATCCAAAATAAGATTAATTTAACTGATAAAGTGCAAATGTTAAAAACTGAAAAACCAACTAAAGTAAAGTAGTTTTTTTTTAACCCATAAAACGCCACAAACACTTCTTATATTTATAATCTATTTAATTCCTGAGTTAATTACTTAACCATAACATGGAACACAAGAAAAATTATGAATCTATTTTATCGATTCCATCACAAAAAAACGTCAGTTTTCGGAATAAAACTAATAAAATATAATACAAATTGAATATTTTACATACAGGGTGATTTTGAGTTTCTTAACTTTTATTTTTAAAAAACAACACAAAATGTAATATTATTTTAGTTATATTTTTATTAATCGAATATTTAGTATAATTCATTAAATATGAAAATGATGTCAGGCAATTGGCCCCTCTGGACTTTCTGCAACAGTCGATTCGTTCGATGTAATTTTGTAAGTTTCGAAGGTTATCTCGGCTATAACTTGGCGGATATTAGTTTTTAGGTGTCCCAACGTTGCAGGTTTGTTGGTATAGACGCGACTCTTAAGAAAACCCCACAAACAGAAATCCAATTGAATTAAATGGATTGATCTTGGCGACCCATTGACATGACCGTGATTTAAAATAATACGACCTTTGATCTTTTCACGCATAACATCTAAAGTGTGGTATGTTTCGTTGTCTTACTGAAACCACATGTCTTCCAAGTCAATATCCTTATCCTTCATTTTGTGTAGTATATATATATATATTATTTTCTGATCTCTAAACACTATTATAAGTGTTCTTTGAGGCAAATTGTAATATTTCTCAATAAACAAGTTTTAAAAAAATAATCTGTTATTATGGCCTATAGTGCTCATCGTTGACTGTCTCTGTCTGAACTTTATCGCTTTCAAAAAAGTATATTTCGCCAATTACGCCTCCTGACGACAATGTGTGCCATTAGTAGCTTTACGGACATGCAATACAAGTGTCTCTTGTATCACATGAGGATTTTTTTCACGCAAAATGCGGCAATTTGGTTTATTATCATATAAAGATATCTGGAAACGATTTTTACCGCAGATGAAAATTGAAAAATTAGTATCAACTTCCTGCTGCTGAAGGACCCAATCAGCGTAAATTCTTCGCTGGCCATGGTATCTGGGCTTCACTTGATCCCTACGCAAAATGCCCCGAAGAGAGCCACAAGAAAGACCCTGACTCAGCGAACGACGTCGAATTGATAATCCAGTGTCGTCGGCAACACTATCACTCACCGGAGCAATATTCTGGGCTGAACGAACGCCACGATGATGCACACGGCTTACCCTAATTCCAGCGCATCCAGTTTCCTCAAACTGCCGCACAATGTTCTCTCGGTAGGACGTTTAAACTGACCATAATGTTCCCGTAAAAGTCTATACACAGCTGTTACAGAATTGTTATTTCTGTAGAACAACTGAACAATTTTCAAACATTGAGAGTTAAGTAATTTATATCGTAAAGTGTCATATATAGCTTCATTGTCAAGCTAACAGTTGACGTTTGAAACAACACAAATATAAGCGACGTTTAAAAATTACATGAAAAGAAAACCTATGCGCATTTAAAATTTATATACGTCTTCGTCTGAACCCTGAACAACAACCAATTCTAAAAAACCCTTACTACCTAGAAATTTAGGAGGGAAATGGAGGCAGATCTTTTACAAGTTGGTGATTATTCAAAAACTACAAGCAACAATAATATCTAAATATCTTCCCGCACTATGATAAATATTAAAATAAAGTAGTTCATCATATAAAATAAGTATAAGTACGATAAGGTTTATTCTGCGGCAGTTCGCACGCAAGAAGAGCTAAGAAATCGGTTCGTGGAAGGCGCAGTAACTCTCCAGCACCATCCTGATGCAATAAGAATAGCCAGAGAAGCAAGGATTCGCCGGACTGAATGTAGCATTCGACAAAACGGAGACCCCTTGGAACAGTTACTCTAAATGTTGTAATAATAATAAATCTTTGACCTTTGATAACTGTTTAATAATTGAGTTTAAGATATATGTTAACATAAACTGTTTTGTTTATTTTGTGATATTGAACACATACCTAAAATAGTGGTGTGCAATTACGAAACACCATGTATATGTATATGTGTATTCACATTTCTTGAGGTCTATTGAATAGAAACAATAACATGTTGGTTTGTTTTAAATGTAATACCACCATCCCTCAGCTACAAAATCATCTTGAGATAAACCCAGAATTACACCACTTACTATTTACACTAATTTGACAACGCAAAAACGGAATGGATGGGTGCTTCTAGCTTCTTGCAGAATGTTTCTTTCTAACTAATAAAATACAGAGTCGTTTCCTTCCAGAAATGTATAACGTAGAATACTTACAGCAGTAGGATGCATAATGTACCCATCTACATCCCAAGACAAATTGAAGGCTCGCTGCCACAAAGCTATTACGGCATATGTAGAGGCCAAAAGGCAACTTTAATAAGGAAAACAGAAATCTAACGAATCCTTCCTTCAAAAGAGCCAGAGAGGAATAGGTACATTAATCTTGCCTACTTTTTGTATTGTAAAAAGGAGAAGGCTTCTTTGTGTGTGAGAAATGTATAAAAAATGGATCCGAAATGAAAGAGCCTGGTGGGGCCCTATACTTAACAGGGTCTTAGTTTTATTTACCGAGAAGAGAGCGCGGTAATGATGCGGTCGGTTTAAGAACCAATTACTCCTCGCCCGGTAACGGCCGCCCAACGGGAAACATATCCATCTCATTAGTAGTCCACTCCCGATAGAGATATCGATAGCTCAAGACCTCTCGGTACTTACATCTTGTGCCAGAGGATCGAAAAATCGCTATCCAGCGAAGTGTAAACTAATTTCAAACGTTCGCAAAACAGCAAAGTTCACGAACAATCCCGTCTAAGCTACAAGGAAATAAAGTAGAGGATGTTTCAGCAAATATATTTTACATACGCTGCGGATTGTTACCCAAAGCCTTGTAATTTTCATATACATATAAATCAAATATTTGGCACACTACAATCCTTACCACTTCTGAAAAAATTAAACAGAAATATTACTTTCTTAATTTTTTTTTTTAAACTGTTTGTTATAAAATTAATAAAGTCAAATTGTTCTTCAAATAAAAATCTAGAGGGCTTTTGAAGATATAAATTTTTCGAGTTATAAAGTCAAATAAATCTAGTTTTACCCAGGCAATATTTCCTAGGCATATTCCTTTTCCAAACTTTTTCATCCTAAAATCCTTCTAACTTTCTTCATTTGTTTACTCCTTGATCCTCTGTGCATTCTCTAAACCCCAGCCCACAAACATACACATTCGTTGTATGAATTCATAACTGTATATTCTAATTATTATTTTAAAAAATCCTTTATAATGTGTGGTACCTTGTGGAAACTAAACCTCACCTTTAACTGTATTTAAACATAAATTATTTTTCCAACTCCTCATCAATGTTCTTAATAGATAAAAGAATTAAATTTCTGTATTTTAGTGTTGTCAGCCTTATTTTACTGTTATTTCACACGTACTTACGTTGTTAAATTACCTGCGTTGTTTATCAAATCAAAAATGTAAGCATACTTTCATGTATTTATCTATAGCATTATTTGCTTACTAATTCTTATTCCTTATTTTAATTCCAAGATAACAGCACTCGGTAATTTAATTATTTCTTGTCATTTTACTCAAGACAAATGACACTTCTATTGTTCATTTTCATTATTCTTAGAGGCCTAAATGTCCCAAAATAAAATTCACTTATCTTCTTCTTTCGAAATTTGAAGTTCAATATCTCAGCAACAAGAAACCGAAACCGATTTTTTTAAAGTAAATCATTATATTTCAAGAAATCATACTCATGATCCACCAAATAGCGTGTACTTTTTGATTAATTAGCAAATGAAATATTGCATCCATTGTAACTTTTTTCGCTTCATTTCGAGCAAATATGTAATATACATACAATTAAACGGATTCAAGAAGTACCAAGGGTGTACCAATAAAAGGGGTAGGGGGGCTATAATAATTATAGTCATAATTAACTAAATTATTTGAAAGATGGTAATTAGTTTGCGTCTAAAAACTCCGGACTCGAATATCTATCCGTTTCAGGACCTGTTTTTGGCTTAAATTGTACGATTTTCATTTTTGTTGAATTAAATTGCACATGTTTGCACTTTTGTGCTAAATTAGACGATTTATAAATACAAATGTATAAGTGAATGTGTTAATATTTATTTTACTATGTTTTTCAAATTAAATTCATTATACAAAATAGAAAAACATGAGGAAGGTAAATAATTCTGTGGGAAGCAAAATCGTATTCATTACAAAAGGAAAAAGTAGAAATTGTTTGATTTGTAGAAATTTCATTTTTATCAACAAAAAAAAAAATTGATAATGATGAAAGTAAAATCTAGCCTTCCGTCAAAAATTAATATCTAGATATAAAAACACTCCGATTTGAAATGTGAGGACAAAGAATTTGATGAGAAAGTTCTATACACCTCATGAAAAATCAAACAGATGATAGGAAATCACTGATAGACGCTCATTGCGGAACATGTAAGAAAAAAAAATAGTCTTATCAAGGAATTGAATGTTTTTTTTTTTTTTTTTGTTTTATTGAAAGAACGTAATCCCCAAAAATATTTTATTTTAGTGATATAGAAAAACCGCTTCAACACTAATATTTGAACACTTGAAAATCTCAAAGATTACAGTCTATTCGAATTTTTTTTAAATTTTAACAAAAGCGTTTTGAAATGTATAATATTGGAAATTTCAACTCTATTAAAAAATAAAGTTTTCATTATAATTCTTAGTAAAAGTTAAATACCTATTATAATCTGGAATTTCATTTTCAATGTTACATTACATTTTTTTTTTATCTCTCGGTCAACTCAATATCTGATAAGATTTCGATGTATTAATATGATAAATTAAGCAATATTGATGATTTTACATGTTTTTAGGTATTAATTACACAATTTTACGTATTTTGGATTTTTAATGCACGATTTTGCACATTTTGACTTTTTTACTGCACGTTTTCCGGATTTTTACTGCTAATCCGGTCTCTAATACTAACACATAATATAATATAAAAGGTTTGCCAAAAATGTAATAAAAATAATTTATAAAAACTCTTGTTCTATGTATAAGGACATGTAATATAATGATACGTTACCAATTATTTACACTTGTAACTTTTTTTCTTTTTTTTTATTTCTTAATGACATTTACAACTGTATTACATAAATACATTTATTAAATTTGGACATAATAGATATAATGACATGAATACACTTTCTGAGTAACTACCCAATGATAGCACTCTGATGATACGACTACATTAGGAGATCACGGGGCCATCTTCTTTTCAGACGCCGCGAGGGTTATCAGGAATTGAAAAGGAAGCAAGGTTAGAAACGAGAGTATTGGGATGATTTTGAAGTTTATTATGGAAGGTATCTGGATTGGGCCAGATCTGAAACATAAAGAACATTAAGATCTTTATGGATAATTTTATTAGTGACAAAGTAAGGAGCATTGAGGATTTTACGAAGGATTTTGGATTGTAAGGATTGGATGCGAGAGGAATTCGATGGTTTAGGGGAGCCCCATAGCTCAACTCCGTAAGTCCAAATAGGTCTTATTATAGTCAAGTATATTAGTCTTTTGTAATTAATGGGAAGTTCAGAGCGTTTGTCTAGTAAATTCTGAAGTAATCGGAAACGTCGAGCGGTTTCTTGTCGTTTCAGTCTAGTATGAGGATTCCAAGTTAGTCGCTGTAGGACAGGGAAACTGTAGGACAGGCAGTCGTTGGTTTATGACGAAGGGTAAAGATAATTTGATGGGATTTATTGGAGTTTATTTTAATTCTCCATTTTTGACACCATTCTTCAAGATTTATGATGTGATTGAAGCATTTGGGATGCAATTGACGGATCATTATTAACTGATAGGATACATGTGTCATCGGCATATGTGGTGATGACAGTTTTGGGATAGGTAGGGATGTCAGCTGTATAAACTGTAGAGAGGATATGACCTAGGATACTACCTTGAGGAACGCCAGCGGACTGGGAAAAAAGAGATGAGAAAGCGTTTTTGTGATTTATTTTAAAGTATCTATCAGTAAGGTTTTAACGGATAATGAGGAAGTATGTAGGTGGCAGAAATTTTCGGAGTTTGTACAGCAGTCCCGGGTGCCAAACTCTATCAAACGCCTGTTCAACTCCACTTGTAACTTAAATCTGGTAAAATAAGCGTTTAGGTTCATGTAGGATTGGCGTCGTTCAAAGGCATATTAATCAGCCTATGAAAGGGTGCCAAGTTTGAAATTCTAATGAACTT